TCTGGCAAGGTGGGTGGACCCCTTCCCCCACAGGTGGGGAGCCGTCCCTCCAGAGGAAGGACCAGGTTCAGCCACTGTGACAGTGCCAGACAGCCTGAGAGCACAGGAACCTCAAACACTGTCCTAGAACGCAGGGGTCCCAGGCAGCCAGTGCACCCCCAGACAGCAAAGAGGCCTGGGATGGCAGTCAGAGGCTAGCTCTACCTTCTTTAATGATGCACTGACACAATGCACAGACTGCACCACACAGACAATTCCGGCTTGTTTTCTTCGCCTGAGTGTAAGTGTTGGGTGGATGGATGACGTTTAAAAGCTGAAGACCCTTCTCCATCATCCTGTGTCCCTCAGCCTCTGGGTTCATCCATTACCTAGGCTGACAGTCCCTCCTTCTCAACCGCTGCCCAGGAGGTCACTGTTGGGTCCAGCTGGAGATCCCACGGGCTCCTCAGCAACCAGGCCGGGGCCCAGGGGCAGGGCCCACTCCCCTCCCTTGTGTCGGCCCCACACCTCCAGCCCCTCCCATGCCTTCCTTCCCTGACTCCTCCCACTCTCCTAGCCTGCTCTGTTACAACTTTCCATACATTTCCCCCAAGGTCCAAGCCTGACAGCCTTGTCCCTGCCCAGCCTTGGGCCCTCAGCTGCCCACTTTTCCTGCCTTTTCCCTGATGGCGGCCTGGAGGTGACTCTGGAAAGGCCTATGTCCTAGGGAGTCTCTGGGTACCAGTCACCAGGACTGCTGGTCACCTGAGGCCCAGCCTCCCTGTCTGCACTTCCTGGAAACACTAGGGTGTTTTTCTTTCTTAAAACAGGGCAGCTCAAAGCTTCCTTCAGGCCCTGAGAACTGAAGAGGGAAAATCAACATGTTAGTTGACAATCACAGCCCCAGGAGGCACTGCCCAGAGCCTGGTGGGTGGGTGGGGCACAGGTCTTTGACAGACAGGCTGGCAGGGCACTGAGGCCTTGCACACCCCAATGGGGGATCTCCAGCAGAGTTTTTGGTTTGCGCTGGAGATGACAGGAAAGTCCAGGTGGGGGGTAGCCCCGGCTCCCAGTCAGACCTGAGCCCAGCCAGGCCATGGTCAAGCCTGGTCACTGCAGCCCCAGACCAAAAGAGGACAGATTCAAGATGACCCCATGATAGTGGCCCTGCCTCACCCCACTAGTCATCACTAGAGATTCCCCAAGAGATGGAGAGACTTGAGGCCAAGCCTGGCTCATTCACATTGGGAACTGATGTGTCACCCTCCCAAGGCCAGCTCATCAAGGGCACCATCACTAGAGGATGGAGGTGTGTGCTATGTGTGTGCACCGTGCTGGGTTTGTGTAATGTGTGTATGTCTGGTGTGTGTTTATGTCTGTGATGTGTGCAGCATACGTGTATATGTTGTGTGTTCAGTGTTATGTGCGATGTGGCATATATAGTGGGGTACATGTGTGTGATGTGTGGTGTGTGCATTTATGGTATATTTGGTGTGTATGTGTCTGTGTGCACATGTACACATGCACATCACTATTCTGACAACAAACTGTCAGTGCAGTTCAAAGAGGCCCTGAGGTCAAATCTAGCAGGTGCCTTGACTCCTGGACAGTGGCGTCACAGAGCTGTCAGTGATTCATCCAGCGTCTTCCATGACAGTGGCTCTTTGTAAAAACCTTGCACACCTAGTGCTGGAGGAGAGCATAAAAGGATATGGCACGTTGGAAAACACTATGATGGTGAGGGAATGGACCTGGGTGTGTACGATTTTCGTGGCATGTTAGGTGGGCAGGCACTCAGAGCTGTTGTCACAGACCCATCACAGCTTCTAGTTCCAAAGACAGCAGACACTGGGGACACTCACAGGAATGTGCAGGCTAGCTGTGGTGACTCATGATGAGGCCAGGGTCTGGCTGGCTGCAGGGTAACACAGGCAGCACCCACACAGTGGCCAGCACTCCAGAGAACATCCCTTTACAGCTTGGCTTCGGAGTGATGTGTGCCGTGTGGATATGTTCCTGTGCTAACGCCCTCCTCACCTCTCGGCAGTTAGTAAGGATCTGAAGGGACAGTGGGCTGTCCCTCCAAGAGTCCGGGAAAGGTCTCCCACACTGGGCTAGGAGCTCCTCCTGTGAGGGCCAGTTTGTTTTTTTTTTCCTGGACAGTCTAGTGAGATTTCACTTCAGCAGCCAATTGCAATGGGAATGTCCCAAGCCTGTCCTGTATCTGTCCTCCGCAGCTTCCCTCCTCCATCGGGAAAGCAGTCTTTTGCGTTTGAGAAGGTGGGATTTAGCCTTCATTTTCACCCCTCACCCCTTGTCTCTCCTTCACGCAGAGATGTCCCTGCATCTGTACACACACATTCCTTCCTATCACTTGGCTCTCTTGGAAATTCTTTAGGACTCTGTCCCTGTCAGGGGACATCAGTGTTCCAGGTCCTCCTTGGATGAGGAGGAGCATGTGCTCATAGGCCTTGCTGGGTCACTTCCCTGATGTTGGCTCTGGGGATGAGATCACGTTCTATATCACTCAGTCTCCTTCAGCTCAGACCCAACCTCTACCCCACTCAAAAGAGCCTACAGAGATGAGCAAAACATGTCCTTCCCACACGCAGTATGGGTGCGGTAAGGGCAGTGCCATGTTGCGGTCCTCTCTCGGGGGCACCCACCCCTTCAGTTGTGTGTTAACTCTGAGACATCAGGCCCTGAAAAGGGAGGTGCTGGTCTAGAAACTCCCTCTTTCAGGGCATCTCAGCTCTGGAAAATGAAAAAGCCTCCTAGAGAAGTGGGGGCCTGGGATGGGGCCACAGGGTATCAGGTTAGGGTGATACCAGCTGGATCCAGAATGAGGGACCCAGCTCTGACTCTCAGACTTTTAATGCTCATTTTGCTTTGGCTTCGTTAGAGATGAAACTTCAGGAATCAGGCTTTGTCATGAAGGAAAGGGTTTTCTTTCTAAAGCCTGGAAACGCAGCATGAGGGAGACAGAGGATTGGGGCTAGGGTCTCCAGGTGGACTGGGACACTCTGCCACAATGTTACAGAGTTCAGGACCACTGGGAAAGTCCACTCAGACTCAAAAAAGTTCTGAATCAGCCAAATGTATTTACCAGGGACGGCACTCTCTGGCCCCATTTAGGGAGTGCTGCCCTAACTGGGAGGAGATGAGAGCTTCTTAAAGGTAAAGTCCAAAAGATAAAGTCCTTGGCACAAGATTTAAACTTTTACAATTTTATTGAATTTTAAAGAAAATTCCTCAGGCGGGCAGGCGAGCTGGTCATCTTGGCAGCTGCCTTGAGGAGGAGGATGCTGGGGAAAAGGAAGGAAGCCATGGAGCCAGGCAGGCGTAGAGCCCAAATGGAGGACAGACATGGCTGACCGGCAGCCACACGGCTGGGAGAAGGAGGCTTTAGAGAAAGTAAAGACATACAAGGTGCTGGGGGCGGCCCAAAGCCTTAAAGAAAGCGTGTTTATAAAAGGGGTATGGAGAAGAGAACGAGAGGTTACGCTTTTCTGAAGAATTCTGAGATGCGGGAAGACTTACAGGCTACATGACTGTGGCCAGTCCAGAAGTTCTGCCTGGGACCCTCCCCCTCCCCCACCCGTTCCAGGCAGGAAAAATTCACTATCTCATTAACGCACTACATATTCTGCCCATCTATTTAGCATAACAAAGTGAATCTGCCTTTCTAGGGTTGGTTCTATGACCAGATGATTGACCAGTGAAACGGGAAGAGTAAGTCTTTCAACAGACTAGATTTTATAGTCTCGATCAGTTAAACTTATGGGGCTATTACCCTACCTCCCACAATGGAAGACATGTTCTCAAGTGAATTCAGCAGCCAATTGCTGTTTCTTTTGGGTTTTTGAACTGGTGGTGATAGGGTCTCCTGCATTTTAAGGAAGTATTCTGACCCTGAGCTATATTTCCAGTCCTTTAATTTATTTTTTATTTTTTTTTTTATTTAGAGACAAGGTCTTTGCTATGTAGCATAGGCTGGCCTTGAACTTATGATCCCCTGCCTCAGCCTCCCAAGTGCTGAGATTACAGATGTGTACCACAAGGCCCTGCACTCTCTCTCTCTCTCTCTCTCTCTCTCTCTCTCTCACATAAGTGCACCCATGTGTCCCTTTTTTTCAGGGCAAAATAAATTCACCATCTTAACCATGGTAACATGCACAGTGCTGTGGTCACCACCATCTACTTCCAGAGCATTTTATCACCCTAGAGGCCTTCTCTCCTTGTCCGCACCCCAGGGACCTTCTCTCCATGTCCGCACCCCAGGGGACACCCAAGGGACCTTCTCTCCATGTCCGCACCCCAGGGGACACCCCAGGGGCCTTCTCTCCATGTCCGCACCCCAGGGGACACCCCAGCAGCCTTCTCTCCTTGTCCGCACCCCAGGGGACACCCCAGGGACCTTCTCTCCATGTCCGTGCCCCAGGGGACACCCCAGGGGCCTTCTCTCCATGTCTGCACCCCAGGGTATATCTGACACACAGCAGAGGTCCTGCCAATACCAAGGTCCTGTCCCAACTCCTGATGAGCACCTAGAGGGAGTGGACAGGTGTCCTGGCCATGGTAAGAGGAGTGGTCATCTAGGGAGAGGGTCGTTCATGGCTCTTGGGCCAGGGCAGCAGTTTGTCCAGGGTCAGTGAAGCCAAGGTCTCATCACTGTCCACATGAGCCCACGTGCTGTGGCTGCCTCAGTGCTCGCTGGACAGTTTCTCCTCCCAGTCAGCCCACCCTACCTCTGCCTCCCCTACATCTCAGCCACCTGCCCTCCTTCCCACCCCAAATGAAGGGGAAAGCTGCCAGACAGACTGCAGGGCGCAGGCTTTATTGGTTCACCAGCATGTGCAAACAAGAAGCCATTGTGGGGTGCAGGGAAGGAGAGGTCGAGATGCCTGCAGGCCCCATACCAAGCTGGAGAGAGCTGTGGGGGTGGAGCATAGTTCCACAGGTCAGGGTCATAGCCTGACATGGGCTGCTCTGGGTGAAGCAGCCTTAAACAACTCAACCTTGGAGTCTTCAGAAGAGTCTGGGCCACAGCCTCCACAGACCCTCAGAGATGGGCATGAGGGAGGAATGGCTTGGCATTGTGGGAAGGCACTGATAGAGTCTATGTGAGCGATGCATTAGAAAGAACAGGGAATTTTCTAGAAGAGAGCTGAGTAAGAGAGATAAACCAGTCAGGTAGGAGTGGGGGTTCAGGAACGGGCTCCGGAGTGGCTTTGTTTTGAGGGACTCTCAGGAAAGATATAGGGACTCTCAGACAAAGGCCCTGGTAGGGACCACTGGGGACAGCATAAGGGTCTCTGTGGCCTGCTGGCTCCTCGGGGACAGTGAGTCCTGCTGGAGGTGGACTCTGCTGTGCTGGAAGCAGCCAGCACTCCCCGGCCCACGGCCACCACTAGCAGGAGAGCGCTGGCGACCCCGCAAATACTCTCGGTAGTTCTTAGTGAGCAGTGTGTAGAGGAAAGGGTTGATGCAGCTGTTGCTATAGGTGAGGCAGGTGGTCAGGTAGTTGACAATGCGTGCAGTCTGGGGTGCCAGCGGCATGGCCTCGTGGTACTGGGCCAGCAGCTGCCACAGCCAGAAGGGCAGGAAGCAGGCCCAGAAGAGTAGGACAATGCCCAGGATGAGGTAGAGCACCCTGGGATTGGGTAGCCGCCTTGTCTGCTTGAAGGAGGCCTGCTGTGACAGCCAGTAGGCTCGGGCCAGGCGGACATAGAGTAGCCCGATGACCAGGCCGGGCCCCACGATGCTGGTCCCAAAGAGCAGTGTCAGGTAGGCGCGGTGGGCACGAGGGCCCCAGGCCGGAAGGCAGAGGCTCTTAGGGCCCCTGCGCACCAGTCGGATGGCGAGCATCATGGGTAGGGTCAGCAGCAGTGCCAGCAGCCAGGTGCCCAGCACCAGCAGCTTGCGGTAACCTTTCGAACGCTGCACCGTGTCCAGAGGCCTCAGCACTGCTGCATAGCGCTCGCTGCTCATGATGGTCAGGGTGAAGATGCTGGCATGCATGGTCAGGAAGTCTAGGCTGAAGAGGACGTGGCAGCCCACGACCCCGAAGTGCCAGTCCTTGGTCACATAGGTGGCCACAATGAAAGGGATGCTCAGAAGGTACAGCAGGTCAGCTAATGCCAGGTTGACCACATAGATGTACATGGAGGCCGAGGCACGCAGGAAGCGGCACATGACCACCAGAGTATACACGTTGCCCACCACACCCACCATGCCCATGACTGAGAGCACAGCCCCAATGGCACCTGTGGCCACCAGGTCTTGCAGGGAGCTGGGCTCTGTTGGGCCAATCCAGGAGCTGTTGAGGGACATGTTGGGGCCACTAGGCTCAGTACTTCCTGACGTGGCCAGCATGAGAAAACTGGTTGTAGACTCTTGACTCAGCTCCATCTCTACCCTCACGCTGGGCTCCTGGTTGGGGGCCTGCTGCTTCGTGAGGGTCTGTGGGAAACTTGTCCTGTGGGAGAAGATGCCCGTCAAAGGTTTGCAAGGCAGCCACCCCCTTCCATGGCCTCCAGGCCTCTGTGATAGACAGATTCACTGTCCCTCTATAGAGACAGGGGTTTGTAAATTCCTCTCCCCCTTTGGAATCCTCAAGAAGACCCCTTCGGTGTCATCTCCCCAGATATCCAGTGGGGTCCTAGAGCTATCTGGACCCATTGTCCCCCCAGAGCACCCCCATCCAGTTTCAATGCAAGTGTAAGGGCTCTACTTTTCTGAAGAGCCACAGCAGGGCAAAGGTCAACAGTGGGTGGGGCCAGGCTTCCTGTGCTCCAGCTCTGCCACCCAGAGCCTTTCTGTCACTTAATTTCACTTGACTGTTTCTGAAAATCCCTTCTTTGGATTACAAAAGTAACAGCTGCTAAGTTTAAAAATCCAAACTGCTGGGTATGGTGGCCCATGCCTTTCATCTCAGCACTCAGGAGGCAGAGGCAGGTGGCTCTCTGTGAGTTTGAGACCAGTCTGATCTATATAGGGAGTTCTGGGCTAGCCATGGCTACATAGTGAGACCCCCATCTTAAAAAAAAGAAAATCAAACAGAAAAATAAGCTGGGACCTTCATTTAGCCCTGTTTCACACCACACACACAATGACCAAAGGCAGACTGCATGTAGATTAAACACATCAGTCATCAAAAAAGCCTCTGGAACAAAACAATGTGAGCTTTGGCAGAACAAGATTATTTTATTTTATTTTATGCGTATGAGTATATTGCCTGCATATATGTAAGTGCACCCATGTCATGCAAAGCCCATGGAAGTCTGAAGAGGGCATTGGATCCCCTGGAACTGGACTTACAGATGGTTGTTAGCCACCATGTGGGTGCTGGGAACTGAACCCAAGTCCTCTGTAAGACCAGACAGTGCTCTTAACCTTTGAGCCATCTCTCTAGCCCTAAAACAAGATTTTTAAATAAACTTCAAGGGCTGGAGAGATGGTATTGTGGCCTGTGGAAAGCTTTTGCAATGTGATGGTAATTAAGAACTTTGCAATAGGAAAACTCTTAAGAGACAGGTATGGAGAGGTGAGCAGGAGCCTCCCATCCTGCCCCTGTGGTTGCCCAGGATGGAAGTCTTTGTTTTCCAAAGTTTTCGCCTTCCTATACGTTGTGGCCCTACGTTACCTGCTTAATTATCACGTGCACCTTTTACTTGTCACCTAGGTGCTGTTGTGCCTTTTGTTTGCATTTCTCCACACATGAGTATAAGAGCCCCCAAAACATGAACAGGAGGCCCGACTCCTTTGTTCATGGTGGTCAGTCCCACTAGCATCAAATGAAACTTTGTCTCCTCACCTGACTTTGGCTGTAGGTCTCTGATTTTTCCATAACAATGGCTTAACAGTTAAAAGCACTGGCTGCTCTTGGGTAAGAACCAGGTTCAGTTCCCAACACCCATATGGTGGCTGACAAGTCTGGTTCAAGGGGACCTGACACCCTCTTCTGACCTCCACAGGCATCACACGAATGTAATGCAGCTCCATGCAGGCAAAACACTCATACACATAGAATAAAAATAAATAAAAATTTAAAAATAATAGAAATACTTTTATCAAAACTAAGAACTTCAGTCAAAGTGAGAGATTATCAGACAATATGCATTAGACTAAAGGATTAGTGAACAATATATATGCAAGTGTAAACCGCGAAAGAAAAGAAAAACCAGCCACTAGGAGGAAGGGGAGCAAACAAACAAAACCCGGACAGGAACTTTTGGAAGAAAACAGCAAAAGGCCAATAAACTCATGCAGGAGATGCTCAGTGCAGCTTGTTATTGGAGAAATGCAAATCAAAACCACAGAGACTGCTCTACACCCCCACAGGCAGGCACCCATGCACACACCAGGGCGGCTACAACCAGAAAGATCTGTGCACCTGTTTCTGAGTATTGGGAAGATGTGGAGGGACCGGACCCTCAGTTACCGTCACTGGGGATGCAAAATGGTGCAGCAGCTTTGGAGCATAGTTTGGTGCCTCAGTGGAGCAAAGCGGGTGTGTACTGTCTGCCAGCAATACTACTCACAGGTGTGCAGCCCAGAGAGCCCACTGAAATCACCCACAGGGACGAGAGTGAGGGTGGTCGCAGCAGCTTTAGGTGGAGTAAGGAGCTTGACACGACCCAAGGGTAAGCAAAGGGTGGCATCTTTGTACAACTGTAACATAGCAACGAGGGGAGAACTGTTGCTGTCGTCAACAGCCTGGTTGAAGGACAGTGGCAGGCAGTTCAGCTGTGGCTCCCTCAGCTGTGGGTCTATTAACTGGCAAAGTCAGAGCAGAGAGAGAGAGAGAGAGAGACAGAGAGACAGAGAGACAGAGACAGAGAGAGAGAGACAGAGAAAGAGAGAGAGAGAGAGAGACAGAGAGAGAGAGAGAGAGAGAGAGAGAGAGAGAGAGAGAGAGAGAGAGAGATCCGACTGTGGGGCTCTGGAAAGCCCTGGACCTGGGGATGTGTGTGTCTCATCTTGGGTGACTGTCATGCAGGTGCCCATGTAAGAACTCTCAGAGTACTTCAGACCCTCTGCTGCCTGCATCAGATTATCCTCCTAAGAAAGACAGCCTAAGGGAGTGGAGAAGACCCTGGGTGTCTGGGCCTCCCCAACTTCCAGGCACAAAACCGACTCTAGGTCTCTTTCTGCACAGCAGAGCTAATGGCGCCTGTGATCCCCGACGGGCGCCAGGGGCAGAATGAACGAGTGGGTCCAGGGGTGAGGACTCCAGGTTCCCACGAGGGTCCGCGGACAGTTCCTAGCTGCATCTGCTTGAGCCCCTCGCCCCGGTGCTGCCCCACCTCCCCAGAGGGCGCAGAGCTAAGGCGAGTGGGCGCAGGCCTCCTGCCTTCCTCCCCGGCCCTCGAACCACCCGCGAGGGAGGGCGGACGTTTCTGGCCGGCGCTGCCCGGAGCCTGGGCCGAACCCGACGTTGGTGCTGCGGACCCCGCGCCCTCCGCTCCCGCCCCGCCCGACGCCCGGTGGCGCAGCCCGGGAGGGGCCGCCTGAGTTCCCCGGGCGCTCGGCGCACTCGCGCCGCTCACCTCGGTCACGGAGCCATCGCTGCAGCCCGGCGCGGTGCAGCCTCGTCCGCCGGTGCTCGCCGTGCACCACCTGTTTCGGCGCCAGCTGGGAATGCGCAGCCCGCGCCAGCGCGCATTGATACCCGGCCGAACTCCCGCGGAGAGGGGCGCCCGGACCCGCGCTGCCCCTACCCCAGCTGCCCGCCGCTGCTCCTCCGCGCCCGCCGAGGTCATGATGCTCCACTGCCAATCAAACCCGGGGACTGTCCGACCAGGGAGCAGGGGGCGTGGACCCTGTCACCTCCTGGACTCCCCAGACTGGGTCCTGGGCGAAGCTGAGTCGTGGAGAGTCACCTCCAGGGTCAGAGAGGGACGGGGGCGGGTCCCATCGACCTCAGTGTGTGTGGGGTTTATGGGTCTGAGTATCTCTGTGGGTCTGGGGAGCTACCTGTGAGCCCCCCCCCGTGTCCCCACCTGCCCACGTGGCTCCCATTCTGGGGCCTGGAGCTCACATAGTCCTAGCACACAGGCTAGACCCACAGAGGTGATACTGGGGAACAGCACGGCTCCAGGTGAGGGAGGACCCACAACTTGACCCTTCAGATGCCACCTGCCCTTCAGGAACACCTCTGGAACTCTGTAACTAACTAAATCTCTCTCTCTGTCTCTCTGTCTCTGTCTGTCTGTCTCTCTGTCTCTGTCTGTCTCTGTCTCTGTCTGTCTCTGTCTCTCTGTCTCTCTCTGTCTCTCTCTCTCTCTCTCTCTCTCTCTCTCTCACACACACACACACACACACACACACGCCCCTGTTGCTGCAGCACTTCAGGGTCTGGAGTGACCTCAAGAGAGAAATCCAGGCACAAGCAGCCCCCGGTAAGTGAGCAGCCAGCTTTGTGAGACCGCAGGGAAAGACACGCAAAAGACACCCACTCAAAAGCTTCCAAAAACCAAGGGAAGGAGAAAATTGTAAAACTATCGGGATTATTTTTCAAAGCGGTATGTTCTGAGAACAAGATGGAAGGTGGCTGGACAGAAACCAGGAGAGGACAGCACCTTTGACTGCTCGGAGGAGGACAGCAGACATAGTTTGATGCACGTCCCTGTACTTTTCATTCAAATCCAGGCGTGGAGGGGATGCTGAAACCTGAAAGGCCTGCAGCGGGTACCTTCTACTCACCAGACACACCACAGGCAGACTGGGAATCGAATCTGTGAGGCACGCTTGGTTACTCCCACCTTCTGGCTGTAGTGAGAATTCTGTTTTCTTTGACACTTTTCTGTTCCGTTTGTGGGTGAAATTCTCTTATCTCTGAAACATCCTGTCCGTATTGTCTGTTCTCTTTTTCATCTTGCGGTTTGTGAGTTCTTAATCCAGGGTGGTTGAAGGAATGGGGTTGAGCCAGCTCTCTTGATTCTCAGACACTGCAAATCTTGGCTCAGGTCTGCAGTCGACTCATAACCCTTGGTTAGGATCACTCAGTCGATGCCGGCATATCCAGGACCTCAAGGACCAGGGCTGTTATTTCTGGTTTTCAACATGAGGCTTAATTTTGCCTTTTCTTGCTTTATTTACCCTCTCCTGTGGTTGGAGAGAGGGTTCAAAGCTGGACCTTCTGTCTTGGTCCGAAAACCACACTCCTGGTTCATTTCAATTTTGGAGAAAATGAGTCACAAATGAAAAGCTCTGGGTTCTCCTAGATGGTCTTTCCCAGTCCCTTAGTGCTGCTCTTGAAGGGGGTGCTGGGACAAGCATTAAGGGGACTATCCTCCTGGTCTGAGTGATGAGGACTGTTTATGTATCAGGGGCTCAGACCTTCCATATTGAGGCTTGAAGATTCATGACTCACTGTGAAGTGAGCCCAGTGCCTTGTGCTTACGGCCCAGGTGACGTGATTAGAGAAAGGGACCGTTGGCCCATCGCCCCCAAAGTCCCAGGAGCCTGGGGTTGGATAGCAGCCCTGCTGTGCTGCTGTTCTTGGCTGCTTCCTCGTTCTCAGGTGGCTCAGCCCTCTGGGACTGGCAAACTTGGGGTGTAGGGAACCCCTTTCCCACTCCACTCTGCCCTGACCTGTGGCCGAAGGCCTGGCTGACCCCCAGCTGACATGTTGAATGGGCAGAGCTCAACAAGGCAGGCCCGTGTTGGTCATATGCTGGACAAAAATGGAACCCCCTGAGGCCCTGGGACAGGGAACCAGACCACAGTTGCTGAGGACAAGGGAGAGAGATGAATCCAAAGTCTCCCCTGTGTGGTTCCACTTCCTATATGGGGCTCAGGTATGGGGCTTGAAGGGAGGCCTTGTGGAGGACGCTAGCCTCACCCCCTCTGCCTCATGCTGTAGGTCTCTAGCCCCAGCTCAACTCTGCTTGCTTTGTATTACTTGTCTGTACCACCCCAGACCTCCGTGTGCCACACAGAGCAGTCTGATTTCCACATCCCTTTAAGTCCAGGTCACCACCTCAGACTCTGTGCCTCCAGTCAGGAGGAGTAGAAGTCCTTCTGGTGGGCATCTCTCTGGGGTATAGGACTAGCCACAGGAAATATGAGCCCTTTGGTGAGTGCCCAGGCTAAAGAGAAAGGTCTCTAGGAGTCAGTGTCCTGCCCAGGGGCATTTGGCCAGGTCACTGGACATCCAGCCTGACATGAGTCCAAAGGGCCACAGGCCAGTTACATGGATGACCATAGGTGGTCCTCAGTTCCTTCCACTTCCAGAAGTAGCCACAGCCCTTGTCCTGTGTGTGTGTGTGTGTGTGTGTGTGTGTGTGTGCGT